TTTGACATAAAATTCTCGTAAGAACTATGTTGAAAATTTTTAATTTCATTAGTTTTCAATGCTTACTTGTTAATGGTGCTATTGCTAAGTCGGCTATCTAAATAAATAAGAAAAATTGAATTTTATTTTTGGTTTTTTTTTTGTTTTATTTACTTTATTTTTAACTTCTTCAACCATATCATCATAACGTCCTGTTGTAATTGGTTTAATTTTATAACCAAATTTAAGTTCATGTGAAAGTTCTTCAAGTAAATCAACACAAAAACCTTCAAAGTCATTATTAGAATAAGTAATATTTAATAGTCCAGTTGAATTTTCATAATTTTTAAGCATTACATAAGGAGCTTCCTGTAAAATTTCCCAAGAGAAAAAAAAAACCCAAATATATTCAAATAAAAATAGATTGTTTTTTTTCACATACAAGAATAGTCGTAACAATCAATGTGGAGTTAAATATACTTCCACGTGATGTTGATACTAGTGTAAAGTTTGCACCTTGTTCACGTGACCATACTCCGATCTGAAATAACAAATATTATAATTAATTTTCTTTGAAAATTTTGTTCTTTATTGTTTACTTTGGATAAACCTTTTTCAAGTAAATGTACAACATCAAGTTCAAATCCTGTTCGTTCACCATTAGATGTAAATTGTACTCTTCCTGTAATACCCTCAAATGATACCTATGAATCACTAATTAATAAAATCATTTGTTTTTCTTTGAAATCAAATAATTTACTTGATGAAATTTTAAATAAAGTTCACGTCCTAATGACCAACCATTTCGATCAAGACATGAAATATTTGGTCGTAACATTTCAGAACCAATATTTGAATGTGATTTTATTAATTGATCATAAGCATATGCAAAAGCAAGTACTGCATCAACCCATAATGCTACTGAAGTCTAAACTGAGGCAAAAAATGTTTCGATCATTGATAGACAAAATAAAAAAAAAAAAAAGAAAGAAATTTTCTTTCTATTCATATAAACTTATTTTACAAATAACTCACTGTGAATAATCGTTGATTAAAATCATTATTTGACATTGTTTTAAATGTTAAAAATGAATCCATTGCTGTTTGTACACGTGGATCATAACGATTAAATAAACGAAATGATGTTAAATTAACAAAATTATGTTTAAAATCTTCTAAATCAAATGTATCAATATTCTAAAATACAAAAAAATAAATAAATAAATATCATGATTTTTTTAAAATAATATTTAAAATCTACATACTAATGTTGTTAATATATAATGATAATTTGAATTAATCATACCCATTTGTAAAGCCATTTTTAATATCGTATGCGTATTAACATCATTTAAATCTAATATTATATTAAATATATCTCGTCCAATAGCATCAATTAAAGCAGTACGATCATTATAATCTATAAATCGTCGTATAAGAATATCAGTTTGATTAAAATTTGGATCATTAAGTACTTTTTGTAAACGTATTAAACCTAAAATATTTTTCAAATAAAATCTTTTTCATTGTTTTTTTCTCTCTCTTGTTAAATGTTCAATATTTTTATTTAATGTTTTTACCTGACTCTATATCATATATAATAAGAAATTTAGACCATTGAAGTTTATGTGTTAAATTATGAAATGCTATATTAAGATCTTCAATAGATGGATATAAATTAATTGATACATGATCATGTTTTGATTTAAAATCAATATCATCATCAATATCACCAACTAAATTTTCAGTTTGATAACATGATGAACAAACATTTATAAATGGTATATTAACATGATAACATATTGAATGAATAAGTGTTGCATATTCAGAATAAGATGGACCAAATATACCTTGTACACGACGTTGATGTACAAGTGAACATACTAAAAAGATTAATTAATTAATTAATTAAAAAGAAAATCAAAAACAAAAACAAATTATTTGAATACCATCATGAACAGCTTGTATACTTGATTCAAAAGCTATTAAACCTAATGTTTCTTCTTGTAAACGTATTTTAAATGATAAATTATGTGCATCTCTATCCAAACGATTATAATGAAATATAGCATATTTAAAAATGCTTTCCATATTTTGTGCATGTGTACCTTCGTCTAGATCTGTAAAAACACCACCTGAAAAACAAAATTATAAATCAATCAATTTTAATATGTTATTCTATACAATTATAGGATAAATTAGAGTTGTAATCGGTTAATGGAAATGGCTTCGAAAAAAAAAAACATTCATTTTCCTTTTTACATTGAGATTTTTTTACAAATCTTCCAAGATGACCATGTTATATTTCTATATATAGGGCGAAAAGACTTTTTTTATCCATCAACTAATTGCTGAACTTCAAATCTTGAGTTTTCTCATTCAGCCTTTTCAAAAAGAAACCTAACATTTCTTTGCGAACGATGATTCAAACCTAAATTTGATCTTAAATAAAACATATATAATGTAAGTTGAACTCAAGTAACACAGTTTTGATTGTGCTTTTTAAAAAATGAAATATGTTTCGATTAAAGAAATAAAACAGTGTGGATTAGAAATATGCGGGATCAAGTTGTTTTGATTCTGACAACTTCTTTTCTGGTAGTTCTACGGTCCCGATGATTGTAGATTTTCCGGTTCCGGTCTAGAAAAAACTATTCCAGAATTTATTCGTATCATATCTAAAATAGTGTTTCAATACTCGTTTTGTTTTTATTTATTTAGTCGACGACTAGTACTTTTTGAGTCATTTCTCTTGAATTATATTCCAACTTATATGATGTTTAAGATAATTTGCTTAAAATCATAGAATATTTTACTATAAATTTGACTTCCGATTCCGGCGTTTGTTTTTCTCGTAATTCTACTTATTAGACGAAGATGTTTTATTTCTTTTCAAGTATGACCATCAATCTACAATTATTACAAGGATTTGTTTTTTTTTTGTAATTCTAACTAAGATTTACCTTTGTCGATTCTTTCTTGAATTTAATTTACTTTATTATTCGAAGATATAGAATTATGTCAAGAATATTTTTCTTATCGATGACATTCTGTAGACAATTATTTCCGAAATATAAATCATTAATAATTCAAATACATTTTATATAAAGGAAATGAATAATGAATTTTGAAATAACTAGATTTAAAAATAAAATCAATATAATATCGATAAGAATTTTCGTTTGAATTATATCATTGAGTATTTATACTTTGTTGAGAAAATTTTTGAATTACAAAACTTAGAAATTTTTTTTTGTTTTTGTTTTTAAATCAAAACTAATGACATTGTTAGGAAGAATATATCAAATTGCAATGAATCAATGATAGAATCAACATAACCTAGGGTTTCCGGAGAAATTAAATAACATATTATTATACTTTTTTGACCTTAAGAATGATGTTAAAATTGAGATTGGAAGAAAGAAAAAACTGCTCTAATTCAGAAGAAAAAGTTCAAAACTAATTTCATATAGGTGTTATCAGTTGAGATTCCATTGTATTAATATTATTAACATATCACCTTTTGTATCATTTCCGTGACATTCTTCATTCTATGATATTTTCTTCTTATCTTGAAATCATTTTATATGTTATTGAATAAACTATGGAAATCATAACTTATGTTAGTTTTATCATTGATTCATTACAATTTAATGTATTCTTTCTAACAATATTATTGATTTTGATTTAAAAACAAAAAAAAAAATCCTAAGTTTTATAATTCAAAAATTTTTTCAATAAAGTGCAAATGCTCAATGATATGATTCATAACGGAAATTCTTATCAATGTCACATGGATTATATTTTAAATCTAATTATTTCAAGATTCATTATTCATTTTCTTAGTATAAAATCCATGTAGATTATCAATGATTTATCTCTCGGAAATAATTGTCTACAGAAATGTCATCAACAAATAAAGATGTCCTTGACATGATTCTATATTTTTAAATTACAAAGTAAATGAATTTCAATTTTAATACAAAAAAGAATTGACAAATGTAAGTCATAATTAGAAATATAAAGAAAAACGCAAAAACACTATAGAAAATTGAAGATGAAATTTTCCAGTTATCTCAATTTTTTTCTCTTCAATTAACAAGAGATAAAAGAATCAAATAAGATAATTAATTAGTACATTAATAATTGTATAGGTATATAAGAATATCATATATTATTATGATAAGTTCTTAGAATAAAACAATTCATTTTTACATATTTATGTAGATATGTTTTTGTAATTTTAGGACATTCTATAAATTACCTACCAATAGTAATGTCAAGTAATTGAGACTGTAATTGTTGTTCACTACCAATCGAAATCGAAATAATAATATATAAGTTCCATAGATGAAAAACAATAGGTATAAGCATTTTTCTGCATCACTTCTTGTACACAATCAGATTTTTTTTTCTTTTTATTTTTTACTATTGAATATCAAATTTTATTATTTTGAAAAATAGATCAATTAATTATATATTTCACCTAAATTATAAGTCATAGGATAATTTAAAAGAAAAAAAAAAAAAACCGACAAAAATAATAAACTCACTCTAATTCATGTTCTTCTATATTAATGATCTACATCGAAATGCTATATCATAATAATTATTATCTAGAAAGAAGAAAACCAAAAAAGAAATTCTTGTCAATATTCTAGATAACAAACAAAGACCTATTTAATCAGTCTATTTCCATCTTTCTGCATTTCAAGTGCTTATTATCAAGCATTTACTAGTGATCATACAAATATAACAGAAAACCGGAAAAACTCTAGAAAAAGCATCTACTGATGATTATCAAAAAGAAAGCAAGAATACACATTGTACTTTGTTAGATTGAATTACCTATTGTGGCAACAGTTTACGTAGTTGTCAAAACTCGTTGGCCTTCTAATTCCTTTTTTTTTTTATATATATATATAGATGCATTATTATAACGGCAAAAGCATTAGAGTATAGGAATGCTTGCATCTCTGTCTCTCTCTCTCTCTCTCTCTCTCGTCATTCTTTTCCTGTCTTATTCTTATCATAGACGAGTTTCTATGTGCATTCAGCAAATTCATCAATGTTCACTCTACTTGAAAGCTGCATAGAAGATGTAAGGAACATACATCCGAAAAGATCTTCCATTTTATTGTTTCTCGATGTTTATTTGTGGTCTCATTTTACCGAATAAGATAAAACATCCTAAACAAGACAGAAATATAAATGAGAATGAGAACCGCAATGAGATAACATTTTTCTAAGTGTATTAACGAACGAACGAGAGAAAGATCGTAGTTTGATACTAGCAATAATAATAATAATAATAATAATAATAAGATTGCTACTCCTACTACTGCTAGTGACTACGTCGACAAGAAAAAAAAAACTCTATATAGAATCTACAATAGAAACTATTATGACATACTAAATATACATCCATCACTACAAATGAAACCAATCCAAAATTGACAATTAAATCCCACGTATCATGAAAACAATCTCGTAGATTAAGATCATTTCTATAGATATTTAATCAATAGAAAAAACCAAATATAGCATCATTTTTATTACAAAAAAGAAAATCATCCAGAAAAGATTTGATTGCCTTCTATAGAAGACTGTCACTATATGTTGAATTAATTATATATCGAATAAAAACAAATTTGTATATACATTATGATATAACAAACATTCTCGGTTTTCTTTCTTGAAAAAACAAAAAACAACTCGAGTCTGTTGATAAATCGACATATGATGAATCAATAAATAAATATTCATTATTATAAATTAGTTATTTAGTCTATCTATAATATAAACATAATCTATTGAATATTATTATCTATAAGATTTTGTTTTTTTCATTTAACATAAGAAAATTAAATAAATAAATAAATTTTATTCTTTGAATTCAATGACACAAAAATGTTTATTATTCAACATTCATTGAAGAAGTTTTTCATATTAATTTCATAGTATCTATTGTAAAATTTAATAACTATAGAAAATTGTTGATCATTTCCTGTCAAATCTTATAAAATTACCATAGTCCAAAATAAAAATAATAGATATCGAATTTCCAGTATGACAAAAAACAGAGAAAATTGATTTTTTTTTTTGATTAAACAATAATAATTAAGATTCTTTCTATTTTATTATTATTATTATTGTTGTTTCTTTTGAATATTTTTTCAGATCAACATTAAATAAATGTTCAATCATGATTGATTCATATAAATAAACGATGATAAAAGAAAGAAAAAAAAAAACCTAGACTAAAGTGTATCGATTGACCGTAAGATAGATAATCAATAAGATCATATGATCGATCGATCAACTGGCCTCAAGGCTTTTACTCAAGACAACCAATCATTTCAAACATGCACACATATTACAGCAATGATGAACGACAAAAAGATAGATAGAGAGAGAGAGAGAGAGAGTTTTTGCTCTATGTTGTGCACTACGGCTATCATCAACAATTGAATATGCACACATTCATATACTCGCTAAAATGCATACATCGTTTTTATGTATATATGTGGCGAGTTGTATTGTTGTTGTAAGTAAGATAAAGCGATTAGTCGTGTGCACACGCACGGACGCGCGAGAAATATATATTCAAATGTCGATGCTTGAGGGTGTATGCAACAACGGCTGCGATAACGATGAAAAAAAAAAAGAGAAAAAAAAACTGACGACAAACGGAGACGATGAAGATCGAATGTCGTTCATATGTGTTATATACTCCTGTTGTTGTTTGTCACTTGCACTGCGAGCGATATTCAATTTGATGAATGATGTCTCAACAATAATACAAGCGCGTATAGATCTTGTTTAGCCTGCTGCTAGAAAGATTAGACGATGCCTTCATTACACAATACATATATATGTATATATGCGTTTGCTCGCATCGATGCCATCGATCAGGTCAACGGCACTACTTCTATTACAAAAAAAAAAGAAGAACTTATTCTTCTCTATACTTTTATACAACAGAGTATGTATAATAATATATACACACACATATCAAAGTCGTACCATGTATATACATGCTGCTTTCTTTTTTCTCTTTCTCTCTATGTTCGGGTGTTTGTTAAAATGTCAGTTCTTTTTTATAATCAATTCGTCAACGAAATGAACTCATTTTCTTTGATTGTGATAATAGTAGTGGTAAGATTATATAATATTCTTCTTCATTCTCTTCTCATCTAGTCGATAAAAACTTCAAAGTGCCTCAACATTAACCTCGTCGTCTCGTATACATTGGATCAGCTGAAACAAGATTTGTAATCATATACAATAGTTAAGTATCGTATAGAACAAGAGAAAAGGAGAGAAAAAACGACTATAAGAAAATAAATGACCTTTTTTTGTGACTTCACACTTTCGTCTAGTGTATATGTACATGTGACATGTTGCCACTTGTCTTCATCATCATCATCATCATTTTCTTTTTTTTTTCTTCTAGATTTTTGTTCTTTTCTTATACATCTACTATTACTTTTCTATACAACTACTTCTCCTTCATTGCATTGGCAAGTGTATACGGCAACGTTTAATGAACTACATGCTTTTATCTCACCAACAGCAACCATATCGGTTTAGCTGTCGATATGAGAGAATATAAAGTAGTAATACTTGGTCCAGGCGGTGTTGGTAAATCGGCACTAACTGTACAACTTTGTCATTCAAAATTTGTTGAAAAATATGATCCAACTATAGAAGTAAGTAAAATTTATATTTCTTTTTTTTTTACTTTTATTCAAAGAAAAACAAAGAGAATAATTGTTTTGAATGATCAAAGTATCGTTTTTCTTTCAAGCAATTATTCTTACTAAAAAAAAAACCGAATACAGAAGAATTTTTTCCATAGGAAACATGAACTAAATCCTAGTAAGATATTTTTAGTTAAAAGATATATCTCGAAAAGATAAAATATGTAAGTCTTGATTATATATAAGATTCCTTTGAGGATTATTCAACGAAAATAATTTTATTTTAAAAAATCAATTATTGTTGTTCTCCGAAAAAAAAATAAAGATATTTGAATATGAAATTATTAACAACATATACATTTTTTCAAGAAAATGTATTTATAACTAAATATTTAAATTGTTTTTCATGAACTAAAAAACCACAAAAGAAAGATTTTTATACGAACCTCGAATCAATTATCATGATTGAACATTAGTTCTTCGAATCTAACTATAGAAATGAAACATTATTCTCTTTTTTGATATGTAAGAGAAAAAAAAACAACAGAAGGAAGTATCCCTAATCGATTTCAACTCTTTTTCATTAGTGAAATATACAAATCGACACTTTCTCCATGGAAATCATAAAGAATTCTATTGCTTTTATTCTAAACGATAATAAAGAAATTGTTTGACATCAAACTCCCAAATGAATTTTGCTCATTAACCGAATAATATTGAAATTATTTCATGTCTTATCTTTTTAGGATTTCTATCGTAAAGAAATCGAAGTTGATGGTGAACCTGCTTATTTAGAAATTCTTGACACCGCTGGTTTGTTTGTTTTTTTAATTGTTTCTATTTTTTTTTTATTAGAAATCTTTCTAATTGTATTATTTTTAGGTACTGAACAATTTGCATCTATGCGTGATCTTTATATAAAAAATGGTCGCGGTTTTCTTGTCGTATTTAGTTTAACATCTTGGCAATCATTTCTTGATATTCGAACTATACGTGAACAAATTCTTCGTGTTAAAGGTACAGATAATGTTCCTATATGTCTTGTTGGTAATAAATGTGATGCATCATTACAACGTCAAGTAACACCTGATGATGCACTTGCATTAGCACAAACATGGTCTTGTCCATATGTTGAAACATCAGCAAAATTAGCTATTAATGTTAATGATACATTTGCTGAAATTGTACGAGAAATTAATACAAGAATGAAAACAAAAAAAACTAAAAGTAAAAATAAACAAAATCATCGATCATTTTTTCGTCTTTGCTGTTGTTGTTGTTCATCACCGTGATAAAGAAAAAAAAGATATAATATATTATACATATTTATTTATACATATATATTAATTTTATGTAGAAGAAAAAAAACACAAGAATAATTTTTTTTTGTTTTGCTGATTAGTAACTAATATATATATATATATATATGTATTATTCAAAAGATTGAACAAAACAAAAAAAAAGAAAAATATTTCTTAATAATTATAGCTTTTTTACTAATCGGACATGTCATTAGATTTCATATTCAAATTATAGATTATGAATACGATAATATGATCTGATTGAAAGGCATATTATTATATTTTCTTGTATTTATAGTTCAAGTCTTCACTAATAACTATATATTAATAATGTTGTATGATTGCATGTCAACATATTAACAGAAAGCAAAAGAAAATTTTTTTTTTTTTCTTAGTCAAATAACTTGTTCGATTGTTTTTTGTATAATATAGATTATTAAGAATTCATTATTCATTTCTTACTTCATAAAAGCAAAAGAAAAAAGAAAGATTATTTCTAGGTATTATTTTTTTTCTTCATTTGATTGATTAATCATAGATTTCTTTGGTTTTATGAAATATTATTTATAACTTAATTCTTTTTATTCTTCATCAAATGGTATAAAACTAAGAAAGTATGAATAGATTTAGAAAAGAAACAAATTATCTAGGTCAACTTGAATATTATCTTTTACTTTTTATTTTCTAACAAGACGTTTAAAGATAAAAATCTATTTATTGTCATTAGTGTCATTATTATAAATGTATCTGCTTTGTTTAATGTCACCAAGATAAAATAGAAATATGTTTTCATTCGTGTCAATACTCTTGAGACAACTATTTCTATTTAAAAAAAATGATGTACATTAATATTGCATTCCTATTCATAGTAAACATCATCTATTTCAATTATTAATATTATAAACGAAATTAGTAGAAATTGGATAAGATAATTTTCCAGGGTTTTTAAACAATCATATAAAAATTATTTCGTATATTACTATTTTATCAAATATAACTGATGAAAAATATATTTATTAATAAATCATTAACAAAATATATAAAAAAATTCTAATTAAATATTGTAAAATTACAAAAAGAAAAATAAAACAAGACATTAGAATATAAAAGAAAACAGCTTCTTCCAATCATTAAAGAAAATAATGTATTATGGACTATGTAGAAAAAAATATTCAGTTTTTAAAATTTAATCTATTATTTATTAAATTACTCGATTATCACAAATGGCATTGTAACGTATTGTCTTATTCAAGTACTATTACAAGGATTATATTATAAATGTCTAATAGTACAACTATCTAAATAATAAATAAGATATATTGATGAGTTTAGCATTGAATCCGAAAAGGCAGAACAAGCTATTGCATCATAGAACGTCATGTTTGCCCTTTTCAAGCAACGATAGTCGGATCTATTCTTTACATGCCTCAAAAGTTAAGCATAAATTGAGGAACTGTGACAATGCAGGGTCATTCAGATTGATTATGAACGCTCATTAACTATGGTATAATACGTGGGCATCATGAAGGAGATATTATTACATTCCGGATAAATCCTACTCAATGACATACTAGAAAAAAGATGATTGTGATGAAACACGAATGGTAATGTACAAGTCGGAAATAGGATAGTCAATAGTATATTTATTATATTTTTCTACTGAACCACTACATAAAATATAGCTCTGATTGATTGATAAATAATAATTCTTATTAGAACACAGACATGTTTTATTTGAATCAATATAAATTGTATTCTGATATACTAAACTAGTGAAATAGCTAGTAGCCTTTTGACATATAGACTGAAAAGTTCATTATGAATGTTCAAATCCTGTTGAATTAAAACTACATGTATTAATCTCCGCAAGCCATATATATATGTATATATATATATATATTCGATATGACCTCACATTTGACCGAACTTAAGCATTGTTCATCATAACGTGAAATTGTTAATACAACATATTTTGTTTAAAGACCTATAATAACATGGACAATTACATTGATTTGATAGAGCGCTTTGACAATCGACATCACAAATATTGAGTCAGTCAAATTATGGTAAAGAACGACCTATAGTTGCATAATAATAATTATTATTTTGGCGATCACATATTAGTAATGAATAGTAGGTGCTATGTAAACATATTAAACTAGTATCATTATAATGACAACAAAGTAATGCTAATTCATAATATTGATACTATCCAATGCAAGATTATGTATGACTCTTGGATGAAACAAAATTACTACCAGTGATAAAAAAAAAACTTTCTACGAGGCATCGACATTCATTAGAATCTATATTATTATCTATTTCATTTATAATAAACATAAAATCTAAAACATTTGGTGCTATACACATGACACATTTGCAACATCATTTCAATAAGATATCATATTACAATCACACATATCTTTAAAACAAGATCAACAAATTATTCAACTATTAATTCATTACTTATTTAATCAACTGAATAGACTAAGAACAAGAACAATTAGTTACATTATTCTAACACTCATTTGATAAGAGAGATCTAATGTTGAATCATATATAGAATTACCATTACATGTTTCATTATATGATTTCACTTTTTTGATAGGATGTAAGATTATGATTATAATATTGAATTATCAAATAATTATATATATCAATCGATGACATATTTTAGACATTTACATGATGCTTCAGATAGATAACAAGTTAAACATCGTGTTATATCACATTCACTAGTAATTTAACATGATGATTGTGTATAACTTTTTTGAAATTCACATAAAGATGATATTTTTTAGGAAAAAAAAACACGACATATTGATGCATTGAAGACCATCAGTGGAGTTCTATTCACAATTTTAAAAATGACTTGTATTAATACCTTCTGTAATAACTTATAATCCATCACTCCAATAGGTTTCATTAGCACTGACATTAAATGGATATTAAGCACATTAATCAGCTGATAGGCATAACCATGAAGCTAGTGGATTGTAAAAATCAAGGTATCTATCGATAGAATAACATTCATATGCTGTATACATTGATAATTAGAATCAGCTGCACTACATATGCCTAAATGATAAAAATGTACTACTAGACTAACAGTATAATATACATTTGGTAAGAATGGATTGTATTTAGCACTCTTCTCATGCTGTGTCATAATGTTGTTAGTATAATATGTTATACATCACTTAGAGCATTTAAGTGAACTATACAAATTGAACCAGATCAATATGAAGTGAAAAGATAATAACATGTTTGAGCTCGAATTATTGTTGGGCAATTAAAATAAATTTAAATTGCAGTACATATTAAAAGGAGATCATTTTATTTGAACATATATATTTTGATTGAGATTCAAACCAATACTTGATTTACATTTTGATGTTGTACAGCAGACTTGAGAAATTGATACTGTTCTTGTTGATTATGAAAAACTTCACTTAACAATAATATCACATAAAGCAATTAATAAACCAAATTTACAAATATCTGCTAGTAATCAATTCGCATTTAGATATGGAAAGTTAACTGATTTTATAGAAGAATATTTGTTGTACTTTCGTTTGTGATACATTATATTCAACAATAAGAAGGTCTTTAGTTTTATTATAAAAATCAATATGAATAGGAAATATTATTCCAGGATTATTCGTTTGTAATAGCATCGTAAAAATAAATTATTCTTTTTTTTTTTATTAAAAAAGATATTGTTTTGAAATCAAGGAAATGAATAAAAAGAATTATTTAGATAATTTTTTTTGTTCGTTTTTGTTTTAAATTAAACAATATATTTGATATATTGAAACACAAAAATAACTTTTCATTATTGATTTAGAATTTTCGATTATTATGAAATAAAACATAATTATACATTAATAGAATTTTTCATCAATGAAAAAAACAAACAAACAGTCCTTGTCCGTATTAACTAGCATAGTTTTGTTTTAATATTTTTGTTTAATTAAAAGATATTTCTATCTTTATTGAAAAACTAAGCATTGTCATTTTCCTTTGAAAACAAACATTCATATTCAAATAATTGACTGACATCAACTCTATTAGATAGAAAAATATTGATGGTACGATAATTTGATTTAGATATGCATTGACATATAAAGAAAAACAATAGATACAATCAACTGTATGCTTGAGATGAAAAATTCTTATGAATGAATCTAGTTGTAAAAATGAGATATGTATCATATAGAGTTCAGATTGGAAAGACACCAACGTAACTAACGAATCTATAAGTCTGCGATCTTTTAATCAGGTACCAACTGACTGATTAGCAAAATTAAATGGAGATACAATAGATTAATAAAAATAAATTTCTTAACTCAGAGAAAGATTATAAATTAAGATGGTCGTTGATAACGTACACATATTTTAATTGTCAAAATTCATTATATTTAATATAAAATACTTCTACGATCGATCGCTGATAACTAGTCACTACTTACCATCTGTCTATAAATGTTTCTATTGATCGTTATTAATGATATCGTTATCTTTTACTTTATAGACATTGAGATGTGGCTAAAATATGCATCAGTTATTAAATGCACATCATATTCAAAAAATACTTAGACATGTTACAGGTCGTGATTGTTCTAAAGTTAACTTCTTTCTTTATCCTATTTAAAAAAATTGAGATTCTTTAACCATATGTTCAATTCTGTATAAAAGTATTTTCATAAATTATAAAAGTAATGATCACATGAGTCCTTCGAAATGTTGCTTTTTCTATATATTTAATATATAGCCATTACATCATGAACAGAACAGTAATAAAAGAAGATCTATGATATTTCATGAATAACTTATGGTTGTTTACAGAATGCTCCATAAAAATAGCACTACGATAAAAAAAAATCTTCGCATCGGTTCAATTAAATGAGCTAATTTTTTTGTTATTATTACTGTTGGTATGACGAAAGCAATTTTACCTGTTCTCAAAAATGTAACGTTTCATAGATAAT